CGATCAGATAAGAGGGGTGATAAGTTGCCTATATATAACATGGTTAGGATAGGACTAGTCTAGGTTTTTGATCTATAATTCTCTTCACTAACATCGTACTTCAATTCACAGGTGCGTTTCTGTTTACAGAAACATTTACAAATATGACTGTGGTCATTTGGGATATTTTGCAATGTTTGTGTTAATGCAAAAACTAAAAACGCACGAGTGTTTACATTAATCATGTACTTTCCTAAGCGCGCCTCGGCCATTTTATACCCCATTTTTCTATGATCTAAATAGTACAGCTAGACTTTCCGATATCACTTATCCCGCTCGTTCGATCGCTCCCTCCCTCAGCACACTCAAGCATGAGGACCGTTTCCTCGCTCCCCGCCGCGTCTACGCCGAACATTGTTGATTTCATTAAAAGAGGTGTTCTATCTGTCACACGATCCCCAGCTAGTCTTACGCTATTCGCCGCTAACATTTTCCGTCACTGTAGTTTGCGAAGGTTACACTCGGAATAGGTGTAAATGGCCAAGAATTTTTCTCTCGGTCTATACGATCCTCAGCTGAACCTGACATTGCTAGACGACAGGCTGGGCGGACGGGAGCAGTGTTCACTGGACAGCGCAGCTGCTACGTGCGACGGAGAAAGATAATTCTAATTCTAGGCACTGAGAATTGTTCGCGGTACATCGACCGTTTGGATTCGTCCGCGGGACAAGACATGCGACTTGCGACTTAGTGAGTGTATTCATGCGTACGTGCGCGCGCGCGTCAGTGTGTGTGTGTGTATGCGAGAGATTATGTGTGTATGTGTGTGTGGGATGTGTGTGTGTGGGGGGGGGGCGTGTGTGTGTGTGTGTGTGTGCGTATGTGCATGTGTGTGTGCGCGCGCGCACGAGTGAGAGAGAGAGGAGAGCGAGAGATGGGGAAATAAAAGGGAGAGAGAGCGCACGCGTGTATGTGTGTGCGCGGGAGTGCGTGCGTGCGTGCGGGTGTGTGTGTGTGTGTGCGGGAGCGCGTGCGTGCGGGCGTGGTGGTGGGCGCTGTACTGTATGGCACGGCCTGCTTTTATATATAATACTCCGCTCTCCCCGTTATGTTTGAACAAATGCGACATGACTAGCATAAACAGTGCGCGTTTAGGATCCATCGACTTGCTGTCGAAAGTTTTCCCGCGTGAATTGAATCAACCTGAAACTTCTGACGCTGGCTCTGGCGGCAGTGGTTCCGCGATCATACCCATCGTTGAACATTGTCCGACATAGTTCACGCAGCCAAGCGAAATTTTATTTTGATGAAATTAAAGCGATTTTTATTCTCACTCATTTAAAATATCAATAATTAATGCTTGGCGTGGACAAACGTAGAGCGCGTATAACGCTGCATCTAAAGTTATCCCATATTAACGTGAACGTATAAACTATGGACGTTCATATACGCATCAGGCACGCACAACGCACAAACGCGCACTTTTTATCCTTGATCTCTCCTAATTAATTTCGGGGCTGTGATTGGATAGCTGGAAGCCGACAGCAGCCTGCTCCGCGGAAGTCTTTTTTAAGTGACACGCGCACACTGACATGCGACATCTCTAATGCGGAAGGACTGCCGTGAAATTAATCCTCAAACGATCCACACTAAACCAATTAAACATAACGCATGCTAAGCTAGGCTAGGCTATGCTATGCTATGCTACGCTACGCTACACTATGCTATGCTATGCTACGCTATGATATGCTATGCTATGCTATGCTACACTACTACGTTAAACTACGCTAAGCTATGCTATGCTGTGCTATGTTATGCTATGATAGCTATGTTAAGCAATGCTATGCTATGCTATGCTATGCTATGCTATGATAGCTATGCTATGCTATGATAGCTATGCTATGCTACGCTAAGCTACACTACGCTATGCTGTGCTATTCTATGATAGCTATGCTACGCTACCCTATATAGATAGATATCAGGAGTAAAGAATAACAATATTACAACTCCACTCCTGATTACTCCTGATAGATATATTACCATCTTGAGTCGACCAATGGAGTAGAGCGTGTTGTGAAAGTAGAACGGTGTCATCTCCAGATACTGGTTCACCTGCTTGCGGAATGTCTCATACAGCGGGTAGATAGGTGGCGCTATTGCGATGCCGAGAAACGATCGGTACGCCTCCTGGAGGACAGGCGTCGCCTTGCCCTGAAACACTCCTAGCAACAGGTGCCAGCACTGTAGCAACATCGTGGTCATGTTTGGAACACTGATGGCAACGCGTGACAACACTGTGATAACACTGTATTAACGTACAGAACACGCACAGAAACGCGCGGCAACACTGTGATGACACTGTATTAACGTACAGAACACACACAGAAACGCGTGACAACACTGTGATAACACTGTATTAACATACAGAACACTCATAGAACAACGCGGCAACACTGTGATGACACTGTATTAACGTACAGAACACACACAGAAACGCGTGACAACACTGTGAAAACACTGTATTAACGTATAGAACACGCATAGAAACGAGCGACAACACCGAGTTAACGTTTAAAAGTCACTCGCAGCAACACACAGCAACGCGCGGCAACATGGCGCTAACTGTTGGCAAACACTCCTAGCAACATGCGCCAGCACGCCACAACTCTGTATTAACGTTTGCAAAACACTCCTAGCAACATGCGCCAGCACGCCACAACTCTGTATTAACGTTTGCAAAACACTCCTAGCAACAATGCGCCAGCACGCCACAACTCTGTATTAACGTTTGCAAAACACTCCTAGCAACATGCGCCAGCACGACACAACTCTGTATTAACGTTTGCAAAACACTCCTAGCAACAATGCGCCAGCACGACACAACTCTGTATGCCGCACACACACACACACACACACCACACATCACACAACAACACAGGGGGGGGCCGCGCGGAGTGTTGTAAGGTCTCGAGGAGCCGGTCTAGCCCTCGCAAAACCGTTTTCCCTTGTCTCGTCTCGTCTGCCTCGGAGTGCAATGACTCGGACTCGACTGCGGGACTCGGTCTCCCCGAGCCCTCCGGACTCAGAGGACTCGGTCGAGCGCTCAGGCCACTACATACGATAGTAGCATGCAACGTACATATGTAACACGCAAAGTTTACCCACTAAACTAAAACTACCCTAGGTTCTAGATACACGGCCTAACTTGTAACGTTTTTCAAGTGGCTCGATTTAAAGATCTTGTCCCTTTGGTTTTGAATCTGCCTGTCACTTCTTCCCCTTCCAGCTTTTCTAACCACTTCTTTCTCGCTTCTTCTACCACTTCGAAGGTACTAGCACTCTCCTCATTTGTTAAACAAGCCGTGTCATTCTCGTAAAACACAAATGTCCGTTACTTATGACACGTTTCGTATGACTCGTGATCTCTAGTTGCGCGTCCAGCCAGTTCGAAGGCGTAAAAAAACCGGCTATAGCCGTGCTTGTACAGGCAGACCGAGCGATATGTGGGCTTACGTGAGATGGACCTCACTCATCTGCCCGGAGCAAGTCCTGATGTGATTGAACTCGTGTGGTAAAGAGGAGAAGGTGGGTTGTATGG